ATGTTTCTCATAATTCATAAACAAGTGGTGCTAGTTCTAGATCTTGCTCCACCTTTTCATTTATAGATATGTGCATTTTCATCCGTAGTTTCTTTTGATCACTGTCCAACTCTGCAACATGTGGAGACATTTGCAATATGTGTCAAAACAATTATATTGATATCGGTGCAATTGGCGATTCTAACTTTTCGTGCATTTGTACCTTATCATTCATGGTGCACCTCTATTTGATTGTAATTTGACAATATTAGATATTTCTTTGGATTAATGGTGATTCATCTTTCTTGTCTAGATTCAAGCTGCATTTCGCACTGATGAAATTCGGAGAACTCCCCCTACTCCACAAGATGAGATGAGGGCAGGAGTGAGCTATTTCCACGAAACTATATGGAAAGGTGTTCCAAAATTTTTGCGACGAGTTGATACAGCGTTGAAGAACATTGGGATAAATGAACGTGTTCCCTACAATGCTCCTCTTATCCAGTTCTCTTCTTGGATGGGGGGGGATCGTGATGGTTCGTAATCTTCATACGAAAGACCTGGCAGTCCTTTGCAATTAGCATTTGTCATGCTTATTGTTGTAATGACGGTTATTATTGCGCTTCATCATAGACATTGACATGGATAGATGAGACTAAAGGGAGGACAACACAATTGGGGAAGTTTATAGATTTTAGATACAATGCAATCTCTCTGATGTACCATAATGGGTGCTGAAGCTAGGGAAATCAATTCATTTAATTGGCATTAATGCTCATAAAAAACCCAAGAAAAAGAAGAAAAGATGGCGATAAGATTATTTTTTCGGTTGTGCTGACTTTCCTTCTTTTTTTGCTCTTGAACAAACCTTGCAAGCAACTAATTTGGGTTCCCTGTCTCTTCTACGCCAATTTCTCACCTCATGCATGTATTAAGAGGCAAAGTAAACCATGTACAAGTTTTATTGGCTTGCTCAGTCGTTCTTTTGTGGTTCTTATTCCAGGAAATCCTAGGGTAACTCCTGAAGTTACTAGGGATGTATGCTTACTCGCGAGAATGATGGCTGCTAATTTATACTTTTCTCAGATAGAGGATCTGATGTTTGAGGTATTGAATTGTCTTTACTCATTTAATGATTGGTTCATGCAATTCAGATTTTGACAATCCATCGTGTTCCTTTTGCATTCGGATTCTCCTGGCAGTTGTCCATGTGGCGTTGCAGTGATGAGCTCAGGGAACGTGCAAACATGCTTCACAGCTCAACAAAAAGAGATGCAAAACATTTCATAGGTAGGTGGTCCTCTGTTGAGAAATCAGTTAATCTGTTAGTTTAAGTATGATATATATAGTCCTTTCATTGGAAATCGCCACCTAAATGCTAACATCAATTGCATTATTGTCTGCAATGTCTAATGCAGAGTTTTGGAAACAAGTACCTTCAAATGAACCCTATCGTGTTATTCTTGGAGACGTGAGAGACAAGTTGTATAACACGCGTGAACGCTCTCGGCAATTGTTAGCCAATGGGTTATCTGACATTTCCGAGGACACAGCATTTACCAATGTCGAACAGGTGTCCCTTCCTTCACGTAACTCTTGTGTTTTTCATCTAAAATTTGAACTACGACTGAAGAGTTTAATGGTTAATCTGTGTCTTTTCGTTACATTTTATGCCATGCCTAATCCGGACATGGAGACTTCACACAGTTTCTTCTTGTGATTCAGCTCAATGCTATTGCATTTTCAACTATGGGATGCAGAATATTCTCTTTTCTACTATTAGTCCTAGTGACGTCAACAACATTTATCTGTTGTTACAAAATAACAATGTATTATTTCTTTGTAAAAACTAAGAGCTTGTGATACACTCTTGTAGTTTCTGGAGCCTCTTGAGCTCTGCTACCGCTCGCTCTGCTCGTGTGGTGATCGGTCAATAGCAGATGGAAGCCTTCTTGATTTCTTAAGGCAAGTTTCTACCTTTGGGCTTTCCCTTGTAAGACTCGACATTCGGCAAGAATCGGACAGGCACACTGATGTCATTGATGCTATCACAAAGCACCTGGGTATTGGGTCGTATCGTGAATGGTCTGAAGAGCGCAGGCAGGAATGGCTCCTATCTGAGCTTAGTGGCAAACGCCCTCTCTTTGGGCCTGATCTGCCCAAAACAGAGGAAATTGCTGATGTCCTGGACACATTTCATGTCATTGCTGAACTTCCTTTGGACAACTTTGGTGCCTACATAATTTCAATGGCAACATCCCCGTCTGATGTGCTTGCTGTCGAGCTTCTACAACGTGAATGCCGTGTGAAGAAGCCATTAAGGGTTGTACCGTTGTTTGAGAAGCTTGCTGATCTAGAGGCGGCCCCCGCCGCTTTGGCTCGTCTTTTCTCGATTGACTGGTATAGAAACAGGATTAATGGAAAGCAAGAAGTCATGATTGGCTATTCTGATTCTGGAAAGGATGCCGGTCGTTTCTCTGCTGCTTGGCAGTTATACAAAGCTCAAGAAGAGCTTATAAAGGTGGCCAAGCAATTTGGGGTTAAGCTCACGATGTTCCATGGCCGAGGAGGAACTGTTGGAAGAGGAGGTGGGCCCACCCATCTTGCTATATTGTCGCAGCCACCTGAGACGATTCATGGGTCACTTCGTGTGACTGTTCAAGGTGAAGTTATTGAACAGTCATTTGGAGAGGAGCACTTATGCTTTAGGACACTCCAGCGTTTTACAGCTGCCACGCTCGAGCATGGTATGCATCCTCCAGTCTCACCAAAACCAGAATGGCGTGCGCTCATGGATGAGATGGCAGTTATTGCAACAAAGGAATACCGTTCAATAGTGTTCCAAGAGCCGCGTTTTGTTGAGTACTTCCGCCTCGTAAGTTTTTTCTCAAAATTCTCTCTCTGGTTGCCCCCCACCCCTTAATCCATGATAAGTAATGCCCGTGTTCCTGCAAATCTGATGACAGGAAAATTTGAAACTTCATTGATGAAGTATATGCCCTTCTAATTTGCTGCTTCTTGTTGATTTTTATTCCCTGATGCTAAGTAACTAGGAAGCCCTATCTTGTAAAAATCCGAAAATATGCAGACTAACCTTCATTAAGTGGCATGGACTTTTCTCTAAAGTATACTAGAAGATTGTAGAATGATCAACTTCACAGAGAAGAAATCTGCAATAAGGATCATAGTCTCCAACATTTTCTTAGAAGTAAATTATTTTACTTGCCACCATTTGCTTATGCATCAATAAGCTTATTTATGATCTTTTTTCGTCTTTATAAATGTTATCTCGTGTCAAAATGACTTCCCAAAGTAGAAGTGCTCATGTTCTGGTGCTTGAAGACTCCAGAAACTATTAAAGCTAAGAATAGTGGTTCTTTTGATGTTGCAGGCCACACCAGAGTTGGAGTATGGTCGGATGAACATTGGGAGTCGTCCATCGAAGAGGAAGCCGAGTGGAGGCATTGAGTCACTTCGTGCAATCCCATGGATCTTTGCATGGACTCAGACAAGGTTTCATCTTCCGGTGTGGCTTGGCTTTGGTGCTGCATTTAAGTATATCATTCAAAAGGACATAAAGAATCTCCACATGCTTCAGGAGATGTACAGGCAGTGGCCATTTTTCAGAGTCACCATTGACTTGGTTGAAATGGTTTTCGCAAAGGGAGATCCCGGAATTGCTGCTTTATATGACAAGCTTCTAGTGTCTGAAGAACTACATCCATTTGGAGAGCGCTTGAGGGCAAATTATGAGGAAACTAAAGGCCTTCTTCTCCAGGTAATATACTATTGAATCTTGAAAGTGAACCTCTTGGACCTCCTAAGTAGGGAAAAGTCATTGTTTGTGGCTGGGTCAACTAGGGCTTCCATTGATATTCACGTCGGTAGGCACGACGACTTTAGTATTTAGCTGAGTTGGGATAACCCGAAATGACCTGAATGGATTTGAATTTACCTCAATGCTTGGCATTTGCCGTTCATATACAGCAGTTCAAAATCTGGAATAGCTGTACTGTAACAGATCAGGTTTATTTGGTTTATTTATGGTTCCATATACACAATGGATCAGTTCAGGACAGACCTTGTCATGTTCAGGTCTGTTGGGATTTACCAACTGCCTGCCATATTGGCCTGGTTTTCTCTCATAACACGTGTAAACAGAGGACTTCAGCCTAAGACTAGAAAGTAGTATTGACATAAACTTGCTTTTCTTTGTGACAGATTGCTGGACACAGGGATCTACTTGAAGGAGACCCATATTTGAAGCAGAGGCTTCGTCTCCGTCATGCATACATCACGACCCTCAATGTCTGCCAAGCATACACCCTGAAGCGGATTCGTGACCCTGATTATCACGTGAAGCTGAGGCCACACCTGTCGAAAGAGTACATGGAATCGAGCCACAAGCCTGCTGCAGAGCTTGTGAAGCTTAACCCCACCAGCGAGTATGCCCCAGGTCTTGAAGACACCCTTATCTTGACGATGAAGGGAATTGCTGCTGGCTTGCAGAACACTGGTTGAGGCTTATGCTATATATAGTTTAGTTTGCAAGAAATGCATGTTATTTAAGAGATCGCAGGTACAAAGAAGTGGTCAATAAATGAGCCTTGTTTACGACGGAGCCTGCTTTGTAAGCAGCCAAAAAAAAAGTTGAACTCTTTCTGCTTACATTATGATGTAACATTTAACCTCGGTCTTTAAAAACTCTTGGTACGATCTATGTATTTAGAGCTGAGTTTTTGCAGAATACATCTCATCACCTACAGAGACCTGCACTGCGGTACAGTGGCACGAGGGGGGATTGGGGTAGGGGCGAGACACATGAAACTTGGTAATAGCCAAAAAAAAAATGTAAATGAAAAAGTCAATGCATAGCCTGCTGAAGTATGTCTGAGCCCATTATATTTAAGCAGCTCAGTGCCAACTTTTGAGATTCGACCAGGAAAAATAAAAGTATGTATCTTGGTGAAGAAATGAGTACAATGACAAGAAATTGCACCGAATTTTCAGATACTGGAATATTCGTGTCTTCATGTTGGAGACCACAGGCTAATTCCAACAAATTTCATTAGCATAAGGGGCAATCAAGTTTGCACAATCGGTTCATCAAGAAAAAAGTCAGTTCGCGCAATCAGATAAATGACAGATTTATTTGCAGTTATGGGTCACAACATGCTCTGTGCAGCTCGGTTGACTCTCCTTCTTGGGTAGGCGCTCGATCATAATCATTCCGTAAGAATTACTGCAGTCAAGCCGAAACCTACCAACCAGGTTCTGTCACTGGGAAACTCTGTTAACTTCCATAGAAAAGGCCTATGGAAATTAGATTATGAGGACAATCTCCATGTTAGTTCAGTAATGCAAGATAAACTTCTATTTGTCCCTTTTTTTTTTACATAAAGGTATTGGCATCGACAATTAATAGCCTGAGGGAAATTCGCTGTTCGACGCATAATAGACCACGAGTGAAGATTAGACAAGCACAGAGGGGAAAGTAGGCAGATCGCATAAATATAATATGAAGTTCTAATTTTAAAATGATGACAGTTCAAAGCTCTCATATCGACACATGAACCATTTCTTAGATCAAAACGTAACATACCCCCAAAAGCAGCTCTGGATTTGTAAGATCTGCTTAAGAAGATGATTCATCTGGGACTTCGGTATTTTTCGTGAGAGTGCTGACTGAATCTTCAATAGCTTGAACAAATGTAGCAATTTTATAGGTAAAGAATCCGACTAACATTGGTATCAACTCCAAATGCATTGTTCCGTATTCTGGAACAAGGATCCTGCGCCCAAGAGCGATTAGGTTAAACACGATAGAGGAGTACAATACAATTTACTGCTTTGCCAAGCAAATTAAAAAATTACAAGGGTGTTAGTGTTACTTAAGATACACCGGCAGGTTGAATACTACAAAAGTGAAATCTAGTAAAACCACAAAGACGAGTTTTCTGTGAAACTCAAAGCGCTAACTTGTCAAATGGAGTATATTTCACCGATCTACCACAAAGACGAGCATTCCAGTGGCAACAAGCCAGCTCGTCCTAAAGAGAGTAAGCCTTACACAGAGTAAGCCAACAAAGTTACTTACCCATTCCACCGATTGTAGATCATGACTAAAACAACAGGAACTAGAAGCCTCGGCTGTCCAATTGCACCTCTGCAAGTAAAGTCTCCGATGATAAGAAAATGCATTCACATTTCAGATAATTAATCAGCACAACAATAAAAAAGTTCATAAGGAGACTTAGGGTGCGTTTGTTTCAGGGAAAGTGTTTTCCGGGAATCCGTTTTCTGGACTTTCACCTATTTGGTTCGCCGAAAATGATTAGTCAACTGAAAACACTTTCCGGTCAAGGAAAACATTCATGTATAAAATTAGGAAAGTGAATTCCCTAATCTAAAAAGGTGAAAACACTTTCCGGAATTGCATCCCTTTACTTTTTTAATATTTTATTCTTTTCTTTCTTTTTTATTTTTAAAAATAAAAACATTTAAAAATTCGATTTTTTTTTTTTGCCTGAGATAAAATCATGAAATTGAAATCATTTTCCAAATGAGATCCAAACACCAGAAAATGTTTTCGATCACATATCACCAAACAAAGGAAAACTAACTATTTTCCTGGAAAATGATTTTCCGGAAAACATTTTCCAAAAATGTTACATTTTCCGTAAAATAAACGCACCCTTAAGTTCAGAAAGAAAAAAAAAAACAGACTACTTTCAACAATACAAATTCCACTGGTGTATATGGGGAAGGAAATACTTTTTAAATCCGCATAGTTTGCCATGTTAAAACAATTAATTCTGGAAGCTAAGTCATAAACTAGGAACCGTCCTCAGTGTTTCAGTAACATTTGAACTTCACTATAATTTTTATGGGGCCTAACATGGCACAACTAAATCAGCAAAGCCCAGTCTAAAACGCAAGAGCGCCCTATGTCTTAAGCAGTCTCATCATGTAACTTACTATTAACAGCTGCAAAATATCCCTACAATTGAAATCACAAAGCTAATTGTACAGTGTTGCCGTCAACTTGAATGGCAATACCAACATGAAGACTAATAATGTCATTGGAAAGATAAACCCCAAGCAGAAAACACATGATCACATTAACACCAGTTTTGATGAAATATATATGCATAGAGCAATCAGTCATCATGATCATAATTCAAATTTGTTAGCTTGAATGAACCAAATGACAATTTGCACAGGCAGCTTATGACATGGTAATTAGGAACACCTCTGATCCAAGCAGTATCTGTTGTACATAGTTAAAACTACATCTGATGATATCACTAAATCCACTATTAAAATGTTTTTTCCATCAATATTCACACATGGTGCTCCTACATATGATACTGACCAAACTACTCCAGCAGCTAGCTGCTCTGCCAATGACCATCATAAGTAGTGGGAACAGATGCACTGCATCTTAATGGTATTTGCCATCAAGTGTAGCTCAATACACAGTCAAACAAGAGATCAGATACATACTTCATCAGCCCCTTAGCACCATCTGCCATGGAATCCACACTGCTCCCAAGCATCCTTACGTAAACCAAGGAACCAAGAAACCCGGCACCAAAGCTGAAACATAAGCAGAATGTAAGCACAGAGATTTGCTTAAGAAGGTTTTTAAGCAATTCAGTATTATCAATATGTGTAGCCCATATCCCTGAAGAAAAAAACCGTGTATAGCCCATATTGCAAGATTAAGAAAAAGTGAAGAAATTCCAGAGATAGACGCGCCGTATAGTAATCTCTTTAAATGCTTAACTACTGATTTATAAGCCTCTTCCTTAGAACTTTCGGAGCAGTAAAATATCACTCATCATCTCTGCTACTAAGTATCATCATTATTGTATGCAGCTAGTCATTGACAACAGCAGTCAAGCAAACAGTCCATAGACCTAAAGGCAATAAATAACTAATACTATGATCGTGAGCTTATTTTTCTTAACCATTTGTAGAATCCTATGAACTCACTATGGGTTAAAAGCCCCAACAACCAATGTATGCATTCCTTAAACACCGCTCATCATCTCCAATACTAAGTATCATCATTATTGCATGCAGCTATTGTTGACAACAGCAGTCAAACAGACAGTCCATAGAACTAAAGGCAATAAATAACTATTACTAAGATCGTGAGCTTATTTTTCTTAACCATTTGTAGAATCTTATGAACTCACTATGGGTTTAAAGCCCCGACAAGTTTCCAATGTGTGCTTCGTTTATATAAGAACTTGGTTGAAGATGTCTCAATAGAACATAACTCATATGGACTTCAGAAACACAGAATCTTGAAGCATCGACCCATTATTTCACAACAGAATGTTTGGAATTGGAACCATACATTTAAATGCATGGAATTTATTGATGAAGCATATGAGGATACATTTAAATGCAGAAGAATATGTGGCCGCAAGTAGGTATTCCAAAAAGAATTTTGACAAAGAGCAAAAAGTCAAGATAACGATAAGCCAAAAACATAAAAAAATAAAGTCAACACGGATATTTAGAAGATCCACCAACCTAGCAGCAATTTCGGGAGAATAAGAAACATAAGCTGAGACAAGACCGATACCACCTATACCGAGAGTGAGGACTTGCAATTTTTTCTTTAACTGTAAAATGAAAATACGTCACAAACAAGTATGAGATAATAATATCACCATGAGAGGTACTCCAATAGCTACGGCCAAAATAAGAAATTTAGTAGCTACTCAATACACCTTGTAGTATTGCTCCCTTGACTGAGCAGCTAATACATTTGGGTCACCTCGAGGTCGCCTCAACTCGCGGAACATGACATCCTATACACAAGCTATATTAGAAACCCAACTCTAACAATACGTACAAAATTCTGAATTGGAAGTGAAAATAAGAAGAAAACAATTTGCGTTTAATCAAACCTAAGTTTGAAAGTCAAGCTTTGACACGAAATAAATGAGACTCAACAGAGTCTTAATGGATCAGGCAGGACTACATCAAATATGACCCTCAAGCCAACAGATAGCACATCAGAGACAGCTGAGATTGAATTTTGATGATAAAGATTACTTACACTTCCCCCAGTAGCAGCTTTACTTGCTCTATCCCACTTCTCTTGTTCACGGCGTGTTGGCACCAGTCTCCATCTGGGTGAAGCACTAGATTTGTCCTGGTCCATATTATCCTCGATTAGAACATGAAAGAGTTATAAGAAACATAAAACGAAAATATATTACGTATAAGTGCCGCAACTATCTTACTTCCATGGGGCCCACAACTGGCTGTTTTGTCACTGTCTTTAATGGTCTTGTAAGCTCTTTGCTCAAATCAACTTCGAGACTGCAACAACCAATTAACTTTCCAAAATAAAATTTCCCATTACACCTTTTGTATTAAAAATAAGCAAGTGCACTGAGGAAAAATATAAAGTGAAAGTTGCAAGGAAGGAGAAAGAGCCAACCTGTCAAGGTTCATTACTCTGTTTAAGCTCAAAAAGCCAGAAGGCTCTTCCTGTAAACGCCAAAAAAGAAATGATGTTGGAGCCATACCATGCAACAAATCCACAGAAAAAGTCCGCAAATTAAACCTTCTATCTGCAGATTCTATAGATATACCGAGGCCTTTGGCCACTAAGAGCATTTCTTGCCGAGATGCTTGTAGCTCTTCATCAGCTAGGACAATTACTTTCATTCATAGATATAACCTAAGTAGTCTCTCCAAATCATTTATTGATAAGTAAATTAAGGTCAGAAATGAACACATTCAATCCAACCTCTTTTGTCAATTCGTCTTTGCCCAGATGGTCCCATTCTTTTCATTTTCTATTTAGATACTGTGGTATTTCTTTTTCTTTTCCCTTGATTCAAAAACTGTTCTCTCCAGCCATCACATGATGCCCTCAAAAACAAAAGCCATCAATAATTTGTGCTTCATTTTGCTGACTTGAATCCTTGGACAGCTCGAGTTTTCTTTGCCATGCTCGGTTCCTCCTTTTCCCACTCAAACATGACAACTTAAGCGTGTTAACCTAAACCACCTTGCGAATTTGCATCAACTCATCACTCAGCATTGATATTATCGGATGAGTACACGCCAGCAGAATTGCAAGGCACGCCATAGATACTGAACAATGCCCAATTCTATCCAGTCAACCACACCACCAAACCAATTCTTTCAGATGTGTAAACTGAATTTCCACTAAAAGGAAAAAGAAAAATGGAGCGGCACTCTGGCAAGGCAAGGCCACGCTCTGACCAACACAAGATCACATTTTTCCAACGAATTGATTCTCTAAGCAATAAACAATCAATCAGAAACTAACCATCGGCAATCAAACTTCAAAAAAAAAGAAAAGATAAAGCACAAATTGAGCTCAACGCACTTACCTTCACCGGCGACGACTCGATAGAAGAGGCGTCCTCCTCCTGGATCATCCTCTTGAACCGGCCCACGAAGTCCTTGTTCCAAATGAACTCGTCGGAGCTGAGCGGATCCTCCCCCTCGCCGCCCCAGTACTTCCGGAGCTTCGTCGCCGTCGGGGGGCCCCCGTACTCGCCGGGAGCGACGCCGGTGGACCACTTCATCGGCTTCTTCCTGGGGAGTATGATCTTCGTCGTCCGAGGGCTCGGCGCGGGAGGCGTCTGCGAGTCCGGAGAGACGGGCGTCGCGGCGGACGTCACCGAGACGTAGTTGAGAATCGGCATCGCCGGCTCCAGAAGAGAGGGTATCCCGACCCAATTACTTCCGGCCGCCGCCGCCGCCGCCGTCGACGATGGACGAAGGAACTTGGAAGGGAAAGAGAGCGAGAAAGTGTGGGAAAATATCAGAGAAAAAGAAATGGTGGTGGAGGAGGAGGAGGAGGAGTAGTTTGTGTCCATTGCGAATGGTAACCATTACGGAGGAGTAACCGTTCCGCTCCAGAAATCAAATTCTTGCCAGAAATTAATTTCTAGAGAAAAAATCTGTTTGATAAAACATGACTAATTTTACTTCAGAAATTGATTTCTGGAACAAAAATCTGTTTTGATTTGTTGATTTTTTTTGCACCTAAAAAAATTTAAATTTTACTCAAAGTGGGTGGCCACATGTATTATAAGCCATTTTGTAAAGTTTTGAAATTTTTGATTTTTTTTAATTTTTTTTGGGCATCTAAAAAAATTTAAATTTCACTCAAAGTGGGGTACAGTATTCTAAGCCCATTTTGTGAAGTTTTGAATTTTTTTATTTTTTGGGCACCTAAAAAAATTTAAATTTTACTCAAAGTGGGTGGCTACAGATATTCTAAGCCATTCTGTGAAGTTTTGAAATTTTTTATTTATTTTTTATTTTTTTGGGCACCTAAAAAAATTTAAATTTCACTCAAAGTGGATGGCCACATGTATTTTAAGCCATTTTGTGAAGTTTTGAAAATTTTTATTATTTTATTATTTTTCTTTTTTTTTGGCACCTCAAAAAATTTAAATTTCACTCAAAGTAGGTGGCCACAGGTATTTTAAGCCATTTTGTGAAGTTTTGAAATTTTTGATTTTTTTTGGGCACCTCAAAAAATTTAAATTTCACTCAAAGTGGGTGGCCACATGTGTTTTAAGCTATTATGTGAAGTTTTGAAATTTTTGATTTTTTTGATTTTTTTAAAAAAAATTCACCAAATTTCATATTTTCCCGAAAATCTGACTTTTTTTTATTTTCTGGAAATTTTTATGAATTTTTCTAGAAAATTTCAATTTTTATGCATTTTCTAAAAAAAAATTTTGTGAGAAAATAGTGAGAACGATTCGGAATCAGAAGCTACAAAAAGTAGCTTCTCTTTTCTTGCCAAAAACTCATTCGGAATAAAAATGCATTCGAATCAAGAATGCATTCTAATCAAGTATTTTTAACAAACGCATTTTTATTCCGAATGCAAAATCGCTCCGTAATGCATTCAAATTTTTTAACAAACGCCATTCTGTTCCGGAATGCATTCCGGAACAGAATTTTTATTCCGGAATGCATTCCATGCGCACCCTAACGTTCCACATCTGTTTCCCACTCTCGCTTTGTAAAAAATGTCCCAATTTGTACTACAGAAAATGACGCGAACAGTTTATTAGGGGTGATCGGTTCTCGATCCAGTTCGATTTCAAGGTGAAACCGGAAAACGGACCGAGAGAACCGGTTTCAAATTTCGGGAACCGCGGACCGGATTGGTTGGTTCTAGGACCGGAAACCGAACTGGACCGCCGGTCCGGTCCGATTTCAGTCCGGTCCAATAGAGCCGGTTACTTAGAGTTTAGTTTTTTTTTTTATTAAACACCTAAGGTTTGGTTCATATTTTACTAATTTTTGTCAATGAAGTTCACTTAGGGTTTAATTCACATTTTACTAATTTTTATCAATGAATTTATGATAATGAAGTTCACTTAGAGTTTAGTTCACATTTTATTAATTTTTTAAAGAAAAAAATAACAAAAATATATATTAAATAATCGGTCCAGTTCCCCCTTGGAACCGAGAACCGGACCGCTTGAAAACCGGTTCCGCTTTTAGGAACCGGGAACCGGACTGATAGTCCCGAGAATCGGACCAAACCTGTTGGTCTGGTCCGGTCCGGTCCGATTCTGGTTTGGGCGGTCCAAGTTGCTCACCCCTACGGTTTATGAATTTTGATGTTATCTTTGAATTTTCAATTTGTCCAATGCGATTCTTGAATTTTAACTTAATATGTAATGTGATTCACGGACATTTTATTTGTTTAATATCGTCCTTGAGATTTTAGTACATATTAAATGTAGTCCATGAACTATATGAAAATATTCGATGTAGTGACTACTGTATGAAAATATCCGATATAATCCTTTTATTAATTCAAGTTCAGGGACTACATTGAATAAATTAAAAGTTCAGAGAGCACATTAAACATTCAGCTAAAATTTATGGACTAAATTGAATGAATTAAAAGTTCAGGAAGCACGTTGGGTCATGGTTCAGGGGCTGATTGTCGCCCCTAAACTTTGTAAAATGTCCCTTTTTATGACGTCATCAAACAATATGACGTCATTTTTATCACCACGACACGACGACGACGACGGCACGGCGCTTGCGTAAAAGCGGAACGTCGCTAATGGCATTCGCATGATTCCATCGTTCCAACAGCACGACAGTTAACGTGGCGTCGTTCGCCGATTTGCCCACTTTCGAGATCTTCCTGCTTCGTTCGTTCCTTGGGGATTCTTTTAGAGATGAGTCCCCAGCGCAGGAAGCCTCCCGATTCGCCCTCGGACTCCGATCTCTCCCCTCGCTATTCGTCCGCGTCCTACGGTCCTGGACGTGATCGCCGCCGCAGATTGTCGTCTCCGGACTCGGCCCGTGGCGACGTCGACAGCGGTTACCTCGGTTCGTCTCGGTCCCCGTGCGAGTCCGGCGAAGATGATGAGTACGAAAACCCCGCTTCCGAAGATGTCGGGACGCGCGGCGGTTCGGGATCCGTCCCCATGCGGTTCCCCGAGCCGAAGGTGGCCGGTGGCAGCAAAATCGATTCGAAGGCCTCCTCAAATTTGCCGAGATTTCCACGGGCACTGCCTTACGTGCATGTCGCGCCGATGCCCGTGTTCGGCGGTGCGTCTGAGGAATGCCCCGTCGCGCACTTGAGCCGGTTCACCAAAGTCTGCCGGGCGAACAACGCGGACTCCCCCGACACGATGATGAGGATCTTCCCCGCGACGCTGGAGCGCGAGGCGGCCCTGTGGTACGACCTCAACATCGAGCCGTACCTCTCGTTGCTCGGGTGGGACGACGTGAAGGCCTCCTTCCTGCAGGCCTACCAGGAGATCGAACTCCAGGACCAACTGAGATCGCAGCTCGCGGGGCTAAACCAAGGGCGCGACGAACGCGTGCGCTCCTACTTCCTGAGGCTCCAGCTGATCCTCCAGAGGTGGCCCGACCACGGGCTCCCCGAGGGGCTGATCAGGGGGATCTTCGTGGACGGGCTGAGGGGGGAACTCCAGGAGTGGATCGTCCCGCAGCGGCCCGAGTCGCTGGACGACGCGCTGAGGCTCGCGTTCGGGTACGAGCAAGTGAAGGGCGTGAAGGGGTCGGCCGACGGTGGGGCCGGCGAGTGCGGGTTCTGCGGGGGGCCGCACGGGGAGAGCGGGTGCGAGGTCAGGGAGAGGATGAGAGGGCTGTGGCTGGAGGGCAAAGAGAAGAAGATGAGAGTCGGGTTGGTGAAGGAGAGCGAGAGCGACGGCGACGGTGACGGCGACGGCGACGGCGGTGGTGATCAAGGCGAGGAGGTCGGGAGGTCAGTCTCGATCGGAGCAATTAGCTTGAGGAAGAGCAGCCAGTGCCAGTGTTGGAAGCATCAGTGCTCCAAGAAGAGGCTGGAGAGGAGCAATAGCCTTGCGAATAGTAGTAGGAGCATCAACGTGGAATGAGTGAATTTAACTTTTCTTTTTTTCGGTTTCATTTAAAAGGGAGTTTTACTTTGATCGTATGTTATAATGATGTTCAATTGTTTATTCTATTCTTTCATCCAAACTTACAATTAGGATCTATGTTCAATTTCTTTTTTATTATTGTATGGTTATTTTTGAGTAAATGACACTGATAATTTTCGAACTTTGGTCTAATATGCAACATGAACCTTGAACTTCAAATTTATTCATTATAGTATTTGAACTTTAAGTCAATATGCAATGTTGTTCCTGGATTATTAATTTGGTCAATTTGGTCCTGGACAGAATGAAAATGCTCAATGTTATCTTTCCATTGGACTGTTTGAAAATGTTCAATATAATTCAGGGACGATAATGTACATTTTCATACAGTCATGGATTAAATTGAATAAATTAAAAATTCACGAGTGATATTATATATTGAGTCAAAGTTGAAATATCACATTATATAAATTTAATATTATGAAATTATGATACACATTGAGCCAAAATTTAGGAGCGCCTGTGCTATTATTCCGCCGTTTTTCTATCTTAATTATAGTCCCCCGTGACTTCAAGGACACACTCAACTTTGGCATCTACACGTGGAAGGCTCCGACTGGGCTTCCCTTCATCTTCTGTCCTAAAAAGCAGCCCTCCCGACCACAGTCCTGCTGTTCACTCCAAGCTGTCCTCATCATTTCTCGCAGAAAATCAATTCGAATTCGATTTTTGATTCCCCGTGTCGATCGATCGATCCATTCGTATACCAGTCCATCTGCATCTCTCGCTCTCTCCTTCGCCATTCCTGCCAGATCGAGCTATGGACTCCTCCCGCGAGAGCCTGGTCTACGTTGCGAAGCTCGCGGAGCAAGCCGAGCGCTACGAGGGTCAGTTAGGGTTTTCTGCTGTTTCTCTTCGTGCTGTCTCTCTTTTTTTTTCTTTCGATCCTTGCCTTTTCCGGTTCGTGATTTCGTTGCCCCGTCAGCTTGAATTTTGGCTTGAGGCGCCGCCTTTGATCTTTTTTTGGCCTCAACCGTTGTGTGCTTGGCGCGCGATATCAATTTTACTACTAGCTCGAGCTTTAGGTCGTTGCGAATCAGAAGAGCTTCAATTGCAGTCGATCGGTTGGTATTTGAGTCAATTTGATATCTTTAGTGAGTTGGGCATGATATGCTTTTTGGGCTCGTCGTCATGTATCCTCCTCGGATTATAGCGTATTCTGCTGCTCATGTCTCGCTGCTGAACATTGTGTGTAGTGATGCTAGTTGCGATAAGATCCTTGACCTTACTATTCAGTGTCGTTTTTTCAATGAAAAGTAGCTTGTGTGATGGTGGTAAACCGTTTCCCCGTCTGCTCAATGGCGTGTAATCAAGATCCTGTCGAGTCTCGACATTTTCGTGACATGGGCTATAAGCTTGTAATGATCCCGCGTTGAAATATGTTAAATTTGTGATCGGGTATTGGCGTGTCAGGTGATATCAGGGGTGCACTAAATGCCTGTCTCCCTAAAAGAGTTGCTTCTTCTTTTCTTGGTTCGCGTTCTACCTTTCTGATAGTATTTGTGTTTGTAGAGATGGTGGATGAAATGAAGAAGGTCGCGAAGCTCAATGTTGCACTGACTATTGAAGAGAGGAACCTGCTATCTGTCGGGTACAAAAATGTTATTGGGGCTCGGAGGGCATCGTGGAGGATTCTGACTTCCATAGAGCAAAAGGAAGATGCGAGGGGGAACGAGATCAGCGTTAAGCGAATCAAAGATTACAGGAAGAAGGTTGAATCGGAGCTTTCCAGCATCTGCAGTGATATCATGGTTGTACTTGATGAGCATGTCATTCCTTCAGCATCAGACGGTGAATCCAAAGTTTTTTACTATAAGATGTGAGATATCATATGTTGCTAGTAGACAACTGTTCCCCTGTTTCTGGGGTACGGCTTTCTATGCAAAGAGATGACTAAGAATTGAGGCATCCATGTGTTTGGTGGAACTTGGCCTTCACAGGAAAGGAGACTACTACCGCTATCTCGCAGAATTTAAGACTGGTGACCAGAAGAAAGAGGTTGCTGAACAGTCAATGAAAGCGTATGAGGTTTGTAGTTAGTTTTCTTTTATATCTTTGAGTATGCTTAGTTAACAAGTTTCTGGACCCTCAACTTTCAACGTTTTGCTCTTCTGGGGCCACATTGGATGTTGGCATACTTGGCTATGAGTATATTTTTCCTCATCTCTTTTTAAGTCCCAGATTGGCATTTGGAGTGGAATTTGCCGCTGTGTATCCCAAAAAGGAAGTCTTCTTTGGCAACAGGATGGTTAATCATTCTCCATATGCTTACGATCATACTATTTCGGTGAATTAACCCATTGGATGTGTAATTGTTCAACTAAGGAAGTGGGGAAAACGTAAGGAGAATGCTGGTTAACCAAGATCACCAAGTCTGTCCTTGCTTTAGAATATTTCATTTGGAAGTCTCTGCTATAAAATATGTGCACTAGTTCATTCGAGGAATGCCAGTGGCATTCCCTATTGAAGCTTTACTATCTATTGTTTGCAATAACTCTGCTGGTATCGGACAAACCACTAGTTCTGTTCTTTCTTAAATTTGTCGTGAGATGATTTAAATTAAATATTTCTTTTTCTTTTTCCATGAGACAATTTGAGTGAAATTTAGAATCTCTGCTTTCCATCTAAACGAGAATGGAAGGCTTCTTCTGTCTGCTTGATAATCTGAGTCTTGGCAATGATCGACCTAGTACTCTATTTAATGCTAAGATGTTCTCAGGGATTGTCAATACGAATATAGCTGCCTCATCTTAATAATAGTGTGTCCAATTGTTGTTTTAATGCCTGATTCAATTCTTTCTCGCTTCTCCTTACGCTCTACTTGCTCTGTTTTTGCATGTACCCAATCAGATGGCTACAAGTATTGCAGAGTCTGATTTGCCTTATACACATCCCATCCGCCTTGGTTTGGCTTTGAATTTTTCGGTGTTTTACTATGAAATCCTCAACTCAGCCGAAAGGTTTGTGAGATGGTTATGAAGTTTAGCTTGATGTTTATCTCTCTGTTTGACTTTTTCTGATTTTGCTTCTTCTTTTTTTTGTCTTTTCTGCCAGGGCATGCCACATTGCAAAGCAGGCATTTGATGATGCAATAGCAGAACTTGACAACCTCAATGAGGAGTCTTACAAAGATAGCACTTTGATCATGCAACTTCTCAGGGACAATCTCACATTGTGGACCTCTGACATCACAGAGGAAGGAGGTGAGAATTTAACTTGTTATAAATGTAAGATGAAGCAATTCTTGTTTGATTTGTTGAATGATTTTTTGGATTTGTTTCACTTATATGTCATTGTCTTCAAAAGTTGGAAAATGACAATCGTACTCTAATTGCAACTTTGTTACATTGGATCAACTATCTCCTTTTCTTTTTTATGTGAGGGCAGGGAGTTTGATGGGTATGATATTTGTGTAACATTTAATTGTTTGAGAATCGTGCTGTCAGGCAAAGGGACAATTCTGTTTTGTTTCCCAATTTAATTGATTATGCTTTTTCTGTGGTATCTGTTTCTAGGAAACCAATGTTGGTTTTAATTGTTCAATAACCAACTTGAAAAATAAATTCTGAACTCTAAATTTCTCTCCACTTCCCCTTTCATTCATCGTTTGGATCTTTATTTTCAGTTTTCCATCTTGTAACAGAAGATGCACAAAGGGTAAATGGCACAGCTAAAGTTGTTATGGAAGAAGGAGAGGTAGGCAGTCCATTCAATCCAGCTTTGTGGCATAGATGAGTTCACACTTCGTACTCACCATTTGGCTTTTCTTTTTCTGCAGTAAAACAGGTGTAACCTTGAATCCTATGCCTTGCAGTGAAACTCGAATGGAGCTCAAAATATGCATAGTTGGAGATATAAGCTTATTCCAGTGTACTCTGTCATTTTAAGTCCTGTACTGAGTACTCTTGATTGGTTGTGGTCGGTCGGGTTGCTTTTCCTCAGGTTTCTCCTTTTGGTCATGATGGATGAAAATTGGTTTGATCTTTATGGTGCTTTTCCTACTTTTAAAATTTATACTACGTTCATGGTCGATTGTTCTGTATCCTTCATTTTCTTGGTCCCATGTTACTCACAATGTATTTGGTTGCTTCTACAACTGCCTGTCAAGTTTGTACCTGAATCCTATCAAATTAATATGCTATTACTGTGTTTGATTTGCCCTTTAATGGAGACCGGATATGAAACTTCCACTTGTTCTGCAGCCCAACTCTTGTTTTGAATTATTTTGTTGAATTGAAAGTGAGTAATGGAAATTTCTGGTGCTCTTCATGGGAACCATGTCGTCCATGGTTCTGTGCGTGCATAATCACAGTAACTGTTTATCAGATGGGAACATGCACCTTTTTCATTAGGGATCTGATATATAGATCGATGCTTTCATTGTAAATTTGTGCCTGGAGAAGTGCGAAATTTTTTTCAGGGAACTACCACAGAACCACTTGTTGAATTAGTCAATTCAATAGCAGCTCTGGGGATAAAGAATACACAAGATGCCTCCGGATCAATCCATTTGACAGCGCAGGGAGTAATATGAACGTCCAATGACCTTAACTAGCGAAGAACTCTGCATTTTATTTGCAGTAGCTACAGATTCTTATTCAAAAGTACGTGTCCTAGCGAGCTCCAAGGAGAAAACTTGGGGTTGGTCATCCTATGCCATACCCCAACGTGAATAGCTAAGCCGTGGAGTTTAGATAGCTGTGGACATTATTCTATTGCTTAATGAAATTTTTATTGGTTTTCGATAGAAGATTGTGTCATTAAATGAGTCTAGAGTCTACTACTTATGGACATGCTATTCTCTCTTGACTGTTGTGCGAGATATGGGGAGAAGAACAGCAGAAGTGTCAAAACTTGTGTACGGCGCTCACTTTAGTGCCAAAAGTTTCTTTTGGATCACTTTAATGCCAAAATTTTTGAAAAACAATCACTTAAGTGTCAACTCCGGTCAATTTGGCTGGAAATCCGACGTAGCATTTTTTTATTAATTTTTGAAGCCGATGTGGCTCGCCAGAGGTTGAGTCAGCATGCTCAGTCAGCATGTACACATCAAAACGACGTAGTTTAGCATGTAAACTTGGATTTTTTAAATATTTTTTTTGAATTTTTTTTCTTTCTTTTCTTTTTTCTTTTTCTTTCTTCTTCTTCTTCGGTCACCGCCGGTGATCGGAGGCCGGCCGCCTGGCCTCAGTGACGGCGAGGCCGGCCTCGCCGTCGCTGGGTTTGGCGACGGTGAGCCTCGCCCGGCCATGACGAGGCCGGCCTCGCCGTCGCTGGGTTTGGCCGGCGAGGTCGAGCCTCGCCCGGCCATGGCGAGGCCGGCCTCCGGTCATCGGCGGTGACCCAAGGTAGAAGAAGAAGAAGAAAGAAAAAGAAAAAAGAAAAGAAGCAAAAAAATTTCAGAAAAAATATTTAAAAAATCGAATTATACACGTGGAAATGCCTCGTAGACCGATTTTTTTTAAAAAAATTCCAACTTGGTTTAAAATTTTAATTATAAAAGCCACGTATTAATTTGGTCGGAATTTCTCGCCGTTGGCACTTAAGTGAGCCGGCGAAAACTTTTGGCACTAAAGTGAGCGCCGTACATAAGTTTTGGTACTTCTAGTGTTCTTCTCCCGCGAGATATGTGTTCTGAGCTTGTTATTACTTGACATTCTTCTGTTTATCATTCTCTAGGCAACGCAAGAACATGACTGGTGGAAAAGTAGATCATGATTCGTGACGATGTTACCTTACTTTTAGACAGTGACTGCCTTTCACTGTATTACTTTTATTCCAGAGCGCCATGTACAGCTTTAAGTGATAATTGTGAGGGTAAGGAGATTCACAAAGAAACATTTAGGACAATGGGGAAATATGCCCACTCTGGATGGTGAAGCCAATGATAATTTTATGAGATATTACTTGTACTAACCGGCATATGCATCTAATCATTGGAATTAGTTTAACTTAAAAAGCACCATCCAGTACATAAGTTTCATCGTCTTGTTTTAGAGGGACGGCGGATATTTTGATGACCATGTTTGATATGATGAGTAATTGTGAAGACAAAAGCCTTTGGACAGAGGGAAAGCGAAGAAGATCGAAACAAAGCAAACAGGCGAGGATCACTATGGACACTTCACCTTGGTTTCCTCTGCTAATCTTGTCTCTTCCATGCCTCAACTCATCAAACTAATGAGTATAAATTCGCCATCCACATTGTCTCAGCTCATTCGCTCAAGAATTTATTTTCTGACTCCTGATCTTGCGCTCTCAAGTCAGAAACAACCAAAGAGAAGGAAGTTGTTGAACAATGGCGGAGAAGGAAGGAGCCATCGTGAAGAAGGGCCAAGAGGAGGGACTCAAAATGGCAATCTCTCTCCTGCAGAAATTTGAACTCCCTCTGGGGCTCCTCCCACTGGCCAATGTGGTGGAGGTTGGGTATGTGGAGAGCACGGGGTACATGTGGATTGTCCAGCAAAAGAAGGTTGAGCATCAGTTCAAGATCATAAGCAAACTGGTGAGCTACGACACCGAGGTCAAGGGCTACATCGAGAAGGGCAAGATCAAGAAGCTCAAGGGCGTGAAGGCCAAGGAGCTCATGCTGTGGCCGCCGGTGTCGGAGATCACTGCCGACTCGCCGGCTGGGAAGATCCACTTCAAGAGCCTTGCCGGTATCACCAAGAGCTTCCCTGTCGAGGCATTTGCTGCTGGCCAGTGAATTGAGTGTCGATGATATGGAAGTCAATGTTTATTTCTATTTTGTTGGGTAAAAACAATTAGAAGCCTCCTATTATTGGGTTTAATACATGGAGGGTTCTTTTTATATAATTCTTTCCCTAAGGGCGTTGGGTACTTAGGAGTGAAGAAAAAAAGTGTCCAAGTTTGCCTGTTTTGATCTAATTACTTTTTCATTGTTATAGTTAGGATTTGCAATTTTCATGATGAAGTTGTTTTTGGTTCTTTACTTGGTAGTGTCTTGTCGCAACAATTAATTTCAGAAACGGGTGTCTTAGCTTTACACAATACAGGATATTGGATGAAGGTTTCGGGGAAAATTTGTCCAAAAAATTCTAAATCTATTATACGGTAGCCATTGAGTCAACTAGTGACGTGAAATACTATATCCAAACCAATTATTAAATTTTGATAGGAGGTGATAAATTTGTTAAGTTTTCGTTTATATTGATAGTCACTCTCTTTGCGGAGAATGACATTGGCTTGAGAACATATTCTGAGTGTGTGTAGCTCTCATCATGTATCGACCTAATTCGGGATACTGAAAATTATGTAAACAAGCTGAAATTAATGAGCTCAAGGTTTCATTATGCGTCGACCTAATTCAGGATACTGGAAATTATGTAAACAAATTGAAATTAATGAGCATATATCTTATGTAACAGCCCGAATTTCGATGTAATTCTGGGATCAATAAAATTGACAATATTTCGCGTTTCATTTTAGTAAGTCTTGCCAAGAGCTGATCACTCTTGGGATACTAACCAATATGGTATGACTAATTAGGAAACGGTACGTGGACCAAGGACCCGATCGCGAAGCGGACACCGATCACGAGAAATGATGAGAGAATATTATGAACCAATGTGGATCGCTCTTAGGAAAGGTGACGGATTTGGTTTGGCCAAGGCCAACGATGTACAATCGGATCGCAGGTGGTTCTGCATGACCGAGAGTGCACGTGGCCAACCAGTCCTGAACTTAAACCGGACGATCGTGACATCTGGGATTGGTGATAATTTCTCATTCTCTTAATGATCGGACCGTTATGACTCGGATAACCCTAGGTCGATATGCGTAACTTCTAAACAGCCGCCCGTTAGTGAGAGATCCTGAAATTGGAAATTGAGCGAGTTTTGATCACGAAATTGGGCTCGGATTTCGATGTCGATTTTCGACGGCTTAAGAGACTATTTTTGGGAATCCGACGTCATATTATGCTGGCCACGCATATTTTGAGTTAGTATGGTTGAAAATTGGAATTTCGGTCCGGGGGTGAAAAATTACGATTTTGCCCCTGTGGACACCGATGTTGGATTTTGAGGCCGTTTGAGGTTATTTTTCGAAACCGATGTCATTTTGGGGTGGCCACGCACATTTAGAGTGGTTTCGATCAAAAATTGGAATTTCGGCTCGGAAGTGAAAAATAATATTATTTTATTCCCGAAACTTTGCAGTCGATTTTCGAGGGCTTAAAGGGCTATTTTCGCGATTCCGACACCACATTATGTTGGCCACGCACATGGAGGGTTGGTACGGGTGAAAAATGGAACTTCGCCCCGGGACCGGAAAAATGACGCTTTTGCCCCTAGGCTAATTTTTGGTTCCGAATTTTGGGGGATAATTAAGGAAATTAATTAAAATTGGACTTATCCTAATTATTGCAGCAAAGGACCAAAATGCCCTTGAATTATTGGATAAGATTTAATGGTGGCCCTTGGATGAGGGGCAAAATGGTCATTTTGGGCTAGATTTGTGACACTTGGCACCCTAGACCCTAAAATTTGACCAAATTAAATTTGTTTCTCTCTCTCCTCACCCTCACTCTTGGCCAGATCTCTCTCTCTCTTCCCGATCACTCTCTTTCTCTCATCTTCTCTCTCGGCTAGGCCTTGCCGGAGCAAGCCGCCGGCCACCGGAGTGCCGCCGCCGGCCACCGTGCCTCCCCGTCGACCACCTCAGTCCCCAGCTTCAGCCGTGCCCCTGTCCGACCCCTTTCCCTCTTCCTTTCTCTCTCTTTCTCTCCCTTTTTCTCTCCCGGGTTAGCACCGCCGCCGCGCCGGAGCCCCCACCGCCGCCGCGCCGGAGCTCGTACGGCCGAGCTGCTGCTACTGTGACGTCCCCGACGTTCGTACGTCACTGTTCACCACCGTCCGTACGGTGTCCGTACAGTGTCCGTACGAGGTGTCCGTACGTCGCCGTCCGTACGCCGCCGTCCGTACGTCGTCACCGGGAACGCCGCCACCGGTTCCACTGTTCACCAGTGATTGGCCTCCGTTCCTCGTCGTCGTGACCTTGGATTAAGTGAGTAAAATTCCTAAACCCGGATTAGGAATGATAGTGCATTTTTTTGGACTGGTTTAGGAATACTAGTACATGCTGAGAGGAATTGGTGTACCGATTGGTAGGAATTATTATCGGGAAAAATGTAGTGGATCAATGAGAATTTATTGGGGAGAGTAATTGGATTGATTGGCCAATTTAGGAGCCCATTGGTGGAATTGCCGGGTATGTCCGGGTTGACTGATTGTATGTAATTCGTGCTTAATTGTGATTGATTGAGTACTGCTATGTCGCATGTGGTGTGGCTGATTTTTGTGGAGTGCGACTGGCCACTGTTTGGCTTGTAATTAATTATTGAATTGTGAATCGCACATCGGGCCACATGGTATTAATTGGGCCAATTGAGCACGTGTTGTGATATTGAGTGTTTGAATTTCATTGGTGCTCATGGTGCATTGCATTGCATAACATGGACACGCATTATGTATGCCTAGTGTGAGGCATGTGGGGAAATTGTGCGAGAATGCGTGCCTGCCATGAGTGTGTGATCACCTAAAATACCCTGAAGCGTCATACGCTGGGTTCGGATAATATTGAGTTGCGTGATCACCTAATGACCTTCGGGTCGTGACCTTCGGATCGATACCGTCCTCATGCACTTTGAAGCAGGACGATGCCCGGTACGTCCGGAAGACGACCATCCTCATACACTTTGAAGCAGGCTCTGGTTCGTAAGGAGATCAGTGTTGCGCCTCATGCACTTTGAAGCAGGCTAGAGACGTTGGGCCAGATCGGTTGCTGCGCCTCATGCACTTTGAAGCAGGCTAGACGCACCGGGCCGTGAATGTTGTTGACTCGAGTCGTCGTAATAAATAATAAATTGGGCGATTGCCAGTGTGGGCCAGTGGGCCGGGAAATGCACGTGACCTGTCGACGACATTTGCATGCATGAACATGCATGGACTGGCATGCGAGTGTGTGAGACTCGGTGCATGAGCATGTGATTGGCGTACGTGTGGTAATGTGTGCCACGTACGTGCCGTGATTATTATATATTGAACTGCCTAACTTGCAGGATCAGAGAATTATTTGATTGTTGTTGCATTATGGTTTCAAATATTTATTTCCGGTCAAGAGATTGCATGCTAGCCTAGCCTAGGTTTAGGGGTTGAACTCATTGAGATTCGTCTCACGGTTGTGTAAACCGAAACTTTTCAGACCCCCAGCCGTAAGGATGCCGAACCCGCCGCTTTTTGGAATACCTGTACAGATACACCAGTATACCAGTACCTACCCCGCAGGAAATGGGGAATCATACGTAAGATACCGGTCCGTGGTGTTTATAAATGTGGGAGAGTACTTTCATCAGACCCAGGAGTACGTGGCATGGTGCTTACGAGATGCAGACGGAAACCTAGGGCAACCCCTTAGGACTTTTGATGTGCCGGTCGACCAAAATGGATTGATGATTCCACGGATGGCTGATGGTGAGATAGTCAATCCTCAGGATGTGTATGACGTAGACGGCATGGATGAGCCCATGCATGGGGAGCCTCAAGTAATCGCCGAAGATCCTGATCAGCTCGAAGACGAAGAAGAGGAATTTGAAGACATGGACATAGATGATGAGGAAGAGATTGGAGAGGTCGCCGAGGTAGGGTCCGATGTGGAGATAGGAGCTGAGGAAGATGACGAGTTAGGTCTTTATCTGGACCCAGAGTTAGAGCTAGATTCGGAGGACGAGAGGATCGCAGCCGAGGATGAGCGAGCACAGGCCATGGATTCGGAGGAGTCTTTAGAGGAACCAGCGGGCGATTCATTGGGGTCCTCAGACCCTGACTGAGAGCCCTAGAGCAGGCCGGTACCCTGGGAAACGAAGACCGTCTCTTTTGAATAGCGTTCATACCCTAGTTAGCCTAACCACCAGTGCCACTTACCCTTTTTGATATAGTGGCAGTTGACTGCTGTAGGTTTTTGGAGTTGTTCAAAAGAATAGTGTAAAAAAGGGTTTTTACTATAAGAGTACAAGTGTATATTCTTATTTGATGGCTGTCCTACCTTGGTCTCACGTGTGTTGTTTTGTACGGGTGTATATATATATATATACACACGTTGTTTCCGCATGTGCCTTATCTCTGATTGGGTGTTGGGTCGGCGACGCATCCTGGGAGCGTTGCATCACAAACGACCGGAGGTGGGATGCTCGCACCTCGTTGGGTACGGGGCGTGACATCTTATCGGCCAAAAAGAAAAAGCGGTGTTCTACAATTAAACTTGATATCGAATACAAAAGTGCATTTGCAGGTTTGATATTTCGAAGCTAATAAAAAAGAAAACTTTATGTTACCTTTCAATCTATTGGGTCTAGGATATCATTTAATTCAACCGACCACCCATATATAGTTGAAATAATACATAAAAATAAAAGCTAATAAAACAAAGTGTTATGTCAAGGCCTTTGAGCAGAGCCATATAACTTTAAAAAAAGAGAGGAAAAAACATCATTTAATCAATGGCGTGTAAAGCCATGGGATTCTTCATCAGGATTATCTGATTATCAACCTTTGAAATATCCTTGTGTTTTCCATAATTTATTGTTAAAGACAATAAGTTTCTTATTACCGAGTTAGTCAATTGATGCTGTAGAAACGAATGATATACCACAAATCTAGAAATACTAAATTCTGAAACACAAGTCACGACTTGCAAACGTACACATTTGTGCAATCGTAAAGAAAATTCACACTAAATATTAAATGATCAAAGGAGGTAGATCTCAGACCAAAATAGATAAAGGAGGTAGGTTGGCTTTGCATGAAAAGTAAAGCAATATTTACAACCAA